AGAGAGAGAGAGAGAGAGAGAGAGAGAGACCCTTTGCATATTATTTTATTTTTTATTCTTTTTTTAAAATAACTGAAAAGATCATAAATGGTCCATGTGGTGTGAAATGACGAAAATGTCCCTCAATTAACGGACAAAAGTTAACGGAGTTAGCAATAAGGACCAATCGTCAAAAGTTTTGAAAACACAGGGACCATCTATGAGGTTTTTAAACCACGGGGACTAAACTTCAGATTTTGGGAAACCACAGGGACCATTTATGATGTTTTTTCTTGTATTTATGATTCATTCTTTTATCTGGGTTTTAGACTATCTTCGTTCACAACCCAACCCAACATATCTATTTATTAAAAAATTAATTTATATTTCCTCCATCTATACAACCTAACAAAATCTAAACTTTCACTACCATTAACAACCAAAGGGAAATCAATTTTTTTATTAAATAAATATAACTTATATTTTTTTATTCAAATAAAACTTATTAAAAGTATTATTTATTTTAGAAACAAATAATTTATTTATTTAAGATATAAAAAATATTAAAAAATAGACATAAAACTATATAATAATTATCAAACATACTTAATAAAAATGATAAATCAAGTTACAAATGTAACATGAAATATAGAATTAAATATTTAGAAGGTACAACATACATATTATTCGTAACTGTCAAATTTTTTCCATATGTGCTCAATCAAATTGTTTTTTAGAATGATATGAGCTTCTTTATCACGAAGTTGTTTTCTACTGGTCATATAATTGGATAGGCTTGCAATTCGTTCGGTAGAGTATTCAAAATGTTGTTCATCATCTTGAGTAGAACTGCTTTGTTGTTGGTTTGCATGTATGTCATTTAGAAATTCGGTTGGATCATAATAGTGAATGTATGTGTCTCGTTCATCCTCAACGATCATATTATGAATAATGATACAAGATATCATGATTTTCCCCATAACATCTTTGTCACACACTAGACATGGACGTCGAAGAAATGCAAAACGGGCTTGTAAAACTCCAAATGTCCGTTCAACATCTTTTCTGGCAGACTCTTGATGTTCAGCAAACAACTTGTGTTTTCGGATTTGTGGAGCAGTTATTGACTTGACAAAGGCATCCCATAAGGATAAATGCCATTAGTGAGATAATATGTCATATTACTTTCCTGACCATTCACAACGTAACTCACATTTGGTGCTCGACCTGCCAATACATCACAAAAAATAGGAGAGCGATGGAGTACATTAATATCACTGCACGAACCTAGTGTTCCAAAGAATACATGACATATCCATAAGTCATACGATGCAACAACTTGTTGTTTTACCGTTTCTACCTGCATATTGTCCGGCCCAAGGGGGGGGGGGCAATTTTTCCATTCTCAATGCATGTAATCATTAGAAACCTTACCTTTTCCTTTTCTTTTAGCCGCATCACTACCCGTTGGACGTTGAATTGTTGTACCACCATTACTTGGCGTCTCCGGGTTGGAGTAGTCCCTTTCTTCAGTAGTCTTTGATATTTTTGTGCTGCTACCACTTTCTTCATTATCCTCCTCACATGCATGATGTGAACGTGTTGTGCTACAATCTTTTTGTAAAGCCCACTTCGGAATTTTACACATAACTTCATTAAAAACAACTAAATCGTT